ATCGGACCTAAATTTGTCAATTTTTTGAAAAAATACCAGTATCGTTTTTTCCAACTCTAGTTTTTTCTCTAATTTTATTTCATTCCCACCTAACTAGAGTTGATCAAGACGAGACCGATACCGAGACCGATACCGAGATTCTCGGCTTTTTTCCAATATTGGTCTCGGTTTTTTCATTCTCGGTCTCGAAACCGATACCGATATTCTCGGTCCATTTCTCGGCGAGAAACGATACTGACTCAAAGAAACAAAATTCTCAATATTGTCTAAGTTTTCTTCCATAATTTTTTTCGGGTATCCGTCCATAACAGAAAAGTGATTTTTTTCGAATAAAGTCTTCTAAAATTCTCAAAATTTTTGCCTGCGCTGAAATCAATGGTTTGGTTAACCGAAATTTTCACTTCGGCCATCCGCGGATACCCGCGGATGGATATGCCTAAAAGTTGTAAGGATATAATCGGATACGGATGTCGACCTCACGGATATACCTAATCGGATACGGACATAAAAATTAGTATCCATTGCCAAGCCAGATCGGATCCAGATGAGGAAGAGTATTTATCTGATGATTTGGATGATGAAAACAATGAATAAATTATTTTTACACGTATTTTTTGACATAAAATAAAAATTTCTGTTAGTCTCGGTCAGTATCGTTTCTCGGTATCGGTCTCGGCTCAAAATGCTGGTATCGGTCTCGGTATCGGGTTCTTGAGTATCGGTCAATCTCGGTCTCGGGTTGGCCGATACCAGTATCGTTTTGATCAACTCTACACCTAACCTGACACTCAATTTTACGTCAATTTTGTTTTTAAAGAAATAATTTTCAGTGGCATTTTCCCGAACTTTTTTATTAGTGTAATCGGGACCTTGCCGTCCCAATTTTCGTATGTTGGAAATTCCCAAAATCTTTAGAGTATGCAATCATGATTGCCGGAACTGTGGGTAATCATTATCTCTTAATCGCGATATTTTCTGCTGTGATAGACTTATTTTGACTTAAACACCGCTTTCAAGTCACTCTCGATTTTTACGACAGAATTTTTTTTAATTTTTACGACAGAATTTTTTACGACAGAATAACGACAGAATTTTCTTAGTGTAATAAATTGCTGATAGAAAAATCCAGCTGGACCTCAATAACATTAATAAAAACAAACTTATTTTGGTGAATCTATCTATGTAAAACAGAGCCTATTAAAAAGTGGCATTCAATTGGAGGTGCCATTCTAATAGAGGAAATACGATATATGTTACAAGAGATAATTAGAAAAGATTGTTAACATTTCTTTATTCGTGTCTTGAGGATGTCTGATTTTGTAACCTAGAGAATAATTCCAAACTCAAAAATAAGTTCAACCAAATTCCAAACAAATTAAAAATATTTATTTTCCAAATTAAATAAATCCAACAATTAGTGAATAAGCAAGCCAAATAAAAAGCAATATAAGAACCTGAGAGAGCCAGCCAGAAGAACCAATCGGAACCCCGAAAGAGAAATTGACAGAGTTTAAATAGAGCAAAAAAAGGATGTGGAACAGAGGTGGGTCGGATCAGCCAAAGGTGTCGGAAATCGGAAGAGCCGGAAATCGGAACTGGCTCAAAAGTCGGAACTCGGAAATTGGAAATAAAAATTTTTTTCGGAAATCGGAAGTAAAAAACGTCGGAAATTGGAATTCCGACCCACCTCTGGTGTGGAATTAGATAAAAACAAAAATTCAGGTATGAGAAAAATGGAAGATCAGAAATAACTTATAAAACAAAAAGAAAAGTTGCTTACGATTAAAAAAGGAAAAAGGGTTCAGCTAATTTAGGTAAGTTAAAAATACAAAAAAAATTTTAAACATAACAAAATTCCGAGACAACAGGTGCGGGTTAAAATAATTTTAGATTTAGAAAAAACAGAATGGAATTTAACTTTAGAAAAAAATATTGGGAGCAGGCCAACCTACCTCAGCCCAACCTATCGCCGAGGCTATAACTTCTTTCAGAATTGTCGAATCCGTGAATCCTTGGTATGTTTCGATACGCCTCGACGAGCTGAATCCAACCATACCAAGTTATCTCAATTCAACAACTTTGAACGTAGTTATAGCCTCGGCGGTAGGTTGGGGTGTACCCAAAATATTTTTCAATCTTCTTAATTTTCTTCAATTAATTTTTCGGATATTAAATTATCATTCATTACATAATATTCATTATTAAATAAAAAACGTTTTTGCTTTTCTCCACTTAATTTTATAAATTTATTTTTCCCAATTTCTCTTAATTTCAAATTTTTTATTAAATTATTTTTTGAATTTATTTTTCCCATTTTTTCAATTATATTCCCTTCATTATCAATTTCAAAAATTAAATTCCATCGTGAATTAAAGGCTTTAATGTTGATATAAAACAATATGGTCCAACAAATATTTTATATTGTTCAGAAGGATTTTCTCCCATAAAAACAAGCTCTCCATCATTAAAATCTTCTTTAGTTTGTGAAACAACAATTATTATTCCTCCTTTAAACAGATTTAAAATTTTAATTTCTTCTGTTAATATATTTTCAAATATTTTAGAAACACATTTTTCTTTTTTATTTTTTTCTACTTTTACAAAAAATATAAAATAGTTTGAAGTTACACCTGTTTGAATTACAAGTCTATAATTTAACGTCATTAATTTAATTAAATAATTCCCTTCCTCTTTAAATTTCATACAAATTTCAATTAAATTTTCTTTATTAAACATATCTATTTTTGTTAATTTTGCTCTTTCAATATTTCTGTTTCCAATTTCTTTTTTTGGTTCAAAATATAACGGATAACGAAATAAAGGTTTAATTGATACTACTATATTACCATTATTAAAGTATTGATCGATTAGAACAAGAGGGCTCTGAAGAGACCGATTATTGGGTTAGAGAAGTCGGAGAAAAAATTTCTTCTCTTCCCATATAATCGGTCTCTTCAGGCTCTCTTGTTCTAATCGATCAATACTTTGTTAACCCAATCCTATAGGAGGTTGTGGGGGTTGAATGGAGTAGTGCGGGGGATAAGTAAAGTGAGGGCGATTCTGAAGCGATTCTGAGGGTGATTCTGAAGCGATTCTGGGGGCGATTCCGAAGCGATTCTGAGGGCGATTCTGAAGTGGTTCTGAAGCGATTCTGCAGCGATTCTGAAGGGAAACTGAAGCGATTCTGAAAGGATTCTGAGGCGATTCTGAAGGCGATTCCGAAGTCGATGCTGGGTGATCAAAAGTATTGCATCAGAATCCAAAAGGTATCAAATATGGCCTGAGGAAATTCTTGACACGCGGGTGGCTGTAGCCTGAAGCGGGGGCCGTGTCGAGTCGGGCCGGCGGGCAATCAATCGATAATTTTATGTCCAGTTCTTTTGGCACTCGAACTACCCGCACTCAACTGGTAACAATTATTTTCATAGCCTTTTACTAGAGCCAATTCAGTGCTAGTTTAATGCGCTAGGCAACCCGCTCAATTGGTAATGAAAAGTGTGTTTTAGTTCGACACAAGCTCTCTAATGGTATCTCGCTAATATTTTTTGCAATGTTGGATTCTTCAGCAGAAGTTATGAATCCTAATTTACGCAGAACTCGAAGGAGTAAGATCCAACATATTAAAATCATAGGGAGAATAATGGAATGTAGCAATAGCAATAATGGTATCCCATAAGCTACAGTGGGATCCAAAGCATTATCTTGCAAAGTTGTGCTAGCAATTTTTAAAAATTCGAATGTAATATTCTGTGTAGTAGTGGAAATATTTTGCATGTCAAAAAAGTAATACATTTTAAATTATCATTATTTATACAATTATTTCAACCTAGATTGGAATCCGTAACTATGTGCCGATTGTAATCAATCATAATCATTTGATCAAATTCTCCTAAAATAATCATTTCAACACCTCCAGCAGGAATGGGAGTATTAAATTCTAAACGAACACTAGTAGTTCCACTTTTGAGAAGCTCAAAACCACAAGAGTCATCAAGTGTCGATGTCAAAGGTATCACAAAAAAGGTCCATCCATCTTTAAATCGGGACATTGAAATATCAATGGAACGATCTGAATTAGCCATTCCAAGAGCTTCATACATGTCCACAAAAGCTCTAACAAACAAGTCTTGAGCAAACTTTAGCTTGTAAGCGACCATAGGATAAATATGCCCCCCAGTATGAACAGAGATGTCCCTAATATCGAATGGTTTGAAATTGAATGGGGAAAGCGCAATATCACCATTAAAGGCCTTATTTGAAACTAAGGCGACTGTAATGCGCCGCGGTATAGCCGAGCTGAAGGCATTATACTCAATTTCAGTTCGCCCTGAAGTAAGATAAGTAGATTTCATTTCAGTTCGGCGAACAGCATAAGTAGCAGGTTTAGATTCAAGTGTCTTATAAATGTTCATATTAAGTGATGGTTGCACTTCAACCATTTTCGAAAATAATTTAACGTCGTGAACATAAAGTCTATATTGATTATTATCGCCTTCTTTGATATTTTGTAATATAAACGCATCCTTACTTTTGTAAATGCTAAAGTGAATATCTAAATTATTAAGGAGAAATAATTCTTGATTTCCCAAATCAAAATCTAGGCGTGAAAGGAATTGTGAGCGTTTACCGTTTGCAAAAATAGAGCAACGATTTTTGAAACCGTCATCTGTAGGATCATCATGTTTTTCGGTTCTATAATATCCAATAGACGCAAGAAAATGCGATTTAACGTTGTCGGGAAATGACAACTCATTAGTAATATATGCTTTGTAAGGATAAAGAGTACCACTATCGTAAACCTCTGTATTACCAACAGTCACCTTCAACTGTTGAACAAATGTTTGACCAATACCTTGAATCGATCCAATGCTATTATCGGTTGCTTCAATATCTACCCATTTACCAGTAGCTCCCAACTTTTCAATTGATAGCTCGAGGTAAAGATATGTTCGGGACAAGTCAGTCCAAAGATTATCACTGAACAATCGAAACAAATATGGGGAATCTTGTGTTATTGTACTAAGAGGTAGAATTTCTCTAAAAAAGGACCGGACAACAGAAACGTTTGTAGGAGGTACAGAAAAAATACTTAATGCACTATTCAGTGCCAACGGACTGTTTTCATTAATTTGTTTTGGGCAGCTCATTTTAGTATGTTCCTAACGTATCTACTCGTAATCGTTTTTGGGGACGGGATTTTTTGGTAGATTTTTTAGAATATTTTTTTTTGAAATTGGGAATAAAATTTGGAGGACCGATTCGAGAATATGGATGTTTATTTATAGTTTTTGGTTTAAGATCCGGTATTGCGTCATTCATTTGTCCAATGGCAGGAGACTTTTCTATATTTTTGTATCGTTTAAAATCAAAACCTTTTCCACTTTGTTTATCAACATTTTCAGCTGCTTTTTGCAGTAATTTTTTCAAGCCTGATTTACCTTCAGTTACAAGAGATTCTTTAAGATTTTTTCCTTCTAAGACATTGCTTAAAACTCGATTACCGGATTCTAGACCCTGTCTTCCAATAGCGCTACCAATTTCTTTACCAATCGGGATTAAATAACGAAGAAAACTTCTAAACACTGACCCCAATCCATTACCTCTTTGGTAAGGAACGCCACGAAAAACATTATAGCCGCCCCATTGATTGGGGTTTTCAGTTAATGTTGACCAGTTTATATTTGCAGGATCAAAATCAATGTGCATTTTTATGTTAAAAGTATATTATTAAAGCCACTATTTATATTAAATATCTGAGTAGTAATAAACTCAGATACAAATTTATCAGCATTAATTCCTTTTAGTAATGAAATGATTTTATTCATTGAAAAACCTAAGCAGCGCATATAAAGAAAAAAGATAACATGATTCCCGCATGTACTAGAAAATGGTTGTTGTACCATAACAGAATTAAATTGAACATTGTTAAACTTATCTAAATAGGTTCTAATATGATAACTTATCGGTGGCCAGATACCTAACGAGTCATAGTATTCAATACTATTAGTTGAATTGCAAAATAATGCTATCCAATGGGTTCCAGATAAATTGCTAGGATCTGTGTTAACTACGACACAGAACGGAAAAAAGTTACTCCTATAAGGAATACAGTCTGAAGCAAAACATCCTACATAAAATCTTTTTGTAACAATATTTCTTTTTAATATTTTATCAATTTGAAGGTTATTCATTGTTAAAAGTATGTAGCTTTTTTAAAATGTAAAGTTAATGTACATGTTCCATATTGGAACGGCATCAATGTCCCACCAGAAGTTCTAATTTCAATAAAAATTTCAGAAATTTCTTTTACAAGTAGTTTATGGTATTGAACACATAAAAATTGTTCTTCAATTATTTCATCTTGTTTACCTCTAATTGTTACAATTCTAAGTACTGGTGCTGTCACATCGCCTATAACCATTGGTTCAATTAATCCAGGTGCATAAACATGGAAGCAGGACACACCTCCTCGCATATCAGGCATAAAATTTGCAATACAAGTTTCAGTTAAAATTTGCCGATCAAACCCTAAGATATATGCAAGCTGCTCAGTTAATTCAATTTTTTCTACATATTCACTATCGATATGCAAGGAAAATCTATTTTTATAACTGTGGAATTCAAAATTGCATGCTAATCTAGGTTTACGAAATACTCTTATCCAAGGGTCGAATCCAACTTCGTTAGTTACCGAAATAATTTGTTTGAAATCAGAAGTCATTTTTAAATTTTCGATATTCACCAAATCAGTAAAAATTTCATCTTCACTTTTTAAACTAGGAACTTCAGTATCTTCACTAATAATTACGTGTTCTTCTGAAGTCACGTTAGATACTGGTTCGGTCCTTTTCTGAGAGAGCTCTTTTAATCGTTTATACTTATCTTTAGCCTGGGTGCGAAGTTCTTTTAATTTGTTTGTATATTCAATATGAAAGCTACGAAATTTTTCAACAAGTGCTTCACTTCCTTTGTTTAAGGATCTATCCAAATTATCTTTTAAATGTTGGGGATTAGTTAAGGTATTGGAAGGAACCGAAAATTGAACTACATCTCCACTTTTCCAATAAACAGTTACAGTTTGTTCGCTATTAGTACCTAACGACGGCCAGGAGTGGGGATAAACCATAACGGCTAGGCCGACATGCCACTCAGAATTAAATTGCAACTTATGAGGTAATCTAACTCGAAAGGAATTTGTTCTATTTCCTTCGATGTTAGTGTTAGAAGGAATAATAATATAAAATGAAGTCATTTTTTACAAATTAAAAAAAAACTTATTTATGTATAATTATTATCTCCAAGTTATAGAATTAGCGGGTATCCAACTGTTATGTTCCGGACCATAACCTTTCCAACTTACAAAAACATAATCTTCCCCATCACGCTTTCTTTTTTTCAAAACTTTATTAATGTCATATAAATTTTCATCCTTTTTAAAATTCTCTTTTACTAAAATTAGATCATTGGAATAAAACCAGCCTTTAATTTGTTCTCCATTAGAGTCTTTAATTTTGTATGTAGGAGGCTGATAGGGAACTAAGCGGACTTTATCAATAACAAAAATTTCATTTGTGAAATTTGGCAAATAGCCTTTTTGAAATATGTGCTTATATTTTTCTATTCGTACTCTATCTCCTACTGAAAACTTCTTTCTTTTCCATTGAGAAGGGGCATGTGTTTCAATTGCTCTATTCTTTAGTAATTGCCTTAATTTTTCTGCATTTTTAAAATTGACATCAGTTGGGCGCATACCTATACTGGAGTTAAATGAGTTATTTATTGAGCTAACAATTTTTTGGATAACATCCACCCATTTTAAAGTTTTATTTTCTGTGAAGTACCTATATAATCTTTCCTTAATGCTCCTGTTCGCTCTTTCTGCCATCCCCGCATGCCACAGAGGTGAAGTAAGCATAGAGAAATGTTCCATATCCAAGGACTTGAAGTATTTTTGTACTTGTTTAGCAGTAAATTCAAGTCCTTGATCAGTTAATAATTTCCATGGAATGACTTTAGTACGAGAAAATAATTTTTTAAATGCATCTATCATATTATCACTATGTTTACTCTTTACAGGTTCGACAAATATTTGACGACTGAGTGTATCTATACACACTAATAAATATTTGTATCCTTGATTTTGTTTACATATACGATTAAAAACACTCAAATCTGCTTGCCATTCTGTATGAAGTCCGGGAGCTAAAGTTGGCATTCTTTTATATTTTCTAACAACTCTTCTATGAAGAGTATTGACACTTTGACTTGATAGATAGTCCTTGACATCTTGTCGTGAAATATTTTTATCAAGTTTCCTAGCTGATAGCAAAAGCGGTTCAAGAGAGGTAAAACATGTTGAGGAATTAACATTTTTATATAATTTATCAAGTATTTTTATCTTTTTAGTAGTTAACGCTACTGCCATAAGGACGGTTTATAAGAAAATACTTGTTTGAAACAACCACCTTCACCTTCTTGTTTATTAGTAGTTTTCGACGGAAAAAGCAAATTTTGTAAAACTGTATGTTTATTTATTCTACGAAGAAATTCGTCGTAACCAGTTGGAATTGGTCTTTTACGCTTATTCTTATTTTTAAGTATATGATTTATAAGATCTTCTATATTACTTGTAATGAATGAATCTTTGCTGCCTATTTTTCTCGCTAATTTTCCATTTGGCAAAACACCTAATTCACCGGCATGTTGTCTTATATATTTCAATGCTTGTTCTTTTGGACTAGGCTCATTATCGGTATCTGCCGATAAAAATTCATCTTCCTCTTCATCACTTTTATCTTTTACCTCACTTTCATCAGCTTCAACTTTAATATCTTGAACAGGATATTGTCTCCTTATACCAACTTTACCTAATGATTTTTTATGTAGTTTCTTTTTTATTATAACTTTACGGGGTGGTTTTTTAATAGGATCAGCAATTGCTGCTAATTGAGGTTTGTGGTCAACATTTTTTGAAACCACATCCGCTATTTCTTCAAAATTTTTCAATTTAACATCAATAGGTTTTTCCTCCTTCTCTTTTAAAAGTTTATTATACCTTTTAAAATCTTGTTCATAACGAATTGCCCTTGTTGTAGGATCTAATATTTCTTTATTGGCACTAGTATTTTGCAAACGTTCCTTTATCAAACCTATAGCAGTCCCATCTCCGCTTGAAAGTAATTCTTGATTTTCATCGAAACCCCCAATTATATTTTTATAAATGTCTTCGGGGATTAGAAACATTCTATTTGCATTCTTCATAACTGTATTATTTCATCAATAATTTTTTATTTATATTATTTTAAAATTTTATCAGTAATTATTGGGATAATAAGGCTAGCAAGAAGCCCAGCAACCGGAGGGATTCCATTTCCTTTTTGCAATAAAATTCTCGTAGATGGGGCACTTCTGGATCTACTTATTTTACGCAACAAATTTGCATGTTTTTGCAAAGTTGTAATTCTATTTTTATGAAAAGGTAAGCGTCCTTTTAATAAATTAAAACAAATTTCCACAAAACATAACAATTGTTCATCTGAAGCCTTATTTAATAAATTCTTTAATACATTATTCGACTTCGAACAATCAAAAATCGAACGCAAAAAATTTGAATTTCGCTGTATTAGATCGCTAGTATAAAATTTTTTCCTCATTTTGGAATATAAACTATTGTTTTACTCTCATCATTACGATATATATGTGTTCTAAGTCTTAACAACTCAGGTGTGCTGGGATGTATATCAACTAAAAGATATCCAAAATTGTCTTTAGTAGCATCCGAATACGCCTCTAAGAAATATTTTGAGCGTGAAGGAAACAAATGGGAAGCAAGCGTTCTTATCTGCAAGGCTCCAGCAGGATTTCGCATTAACAACAAATAGTGTGAATTATTACGAGCTATTTTTAATTCTTTGCTAAACAAATGCTGTGTTATTAATATAACACTCATTTTCCAATTATGAGATCCTTTCGTAAATATTGTATCTAATAGATTTTGATTCATCCCAACCATTAAGTCATCGAGTACAAGCAACATTTTTCCATTTGATTGAATGGCCTTTGTACGTATAAATTCCTCACCTCCTACTGGCAGACCATTATGAACTATAACTCTTGTCTTACCTTTATTAACAAACCCTATTCTCTGCATACGTATAATATTTTTATTTAACTCTCCATAACAATATAGGACCAAATCAATTTGATATTTTCCCTCATTGTCATCTGGAATCATTTCAGACAAGTTTTCTAGAAATTTTTTAACCCATTCTGATTTACCAGATCCTGTACTCCCCGATACAATCATTGTAAAAGGGTGCTTGAATCGTGAATGTATTAAATCAAATTTTTCAAATCCTGACATTTTAAAATTTTATTTAATTTTTATAAATAAGTATATATAGATTTAGAAATTTTGCAATTAACAAAATGAATGTAATGGAACTTCTTTTCACTCTTATGGTCTGGGGAGTTCTCGAAGACGACCCTGAACCAGAACAGCAACAGAATACATCAAACGAATCTCAGACGGACCAGCCACCATTAATAGTGGTTGAAGAATCTGGAGACGAAGTTGAAGAGAAGGAAAAGGTAAGATAATTTAAATAATTAAATTTTTAAAATTTTAATTTTAGAAAGGTGTAGATGTTATTACCCCCGCATTTGGGCTTCTTACAATAATGGATGATATAATAGAAGATAAAATGGATGAGGAACAAATTGAAGATGAAATTAATATAGATACGAGCGATAAAATCCTACGAATTACTCAGGACGACAAGCCTTTGGATTGGACTGTTGAACCAGAAAATCCTTTTCGTGAACCTACACCGACAGCAAAACAAAATGAAGATATTAAATCTAAAATTCCAACAACATCTATATCAATACGTTCTAAGACACATTTACCTATTCCTTTAATTGAGTATCTTTGCCAACTACGAAATTGTTCGTTCAAGGAACTACATGTACTATTCCATAATCTTGATGCTCGTCGTGAAATTATTGAGCATTTACGCCAAAATGTGCAGTTACGGACATCTCATCTAAAACCAACGTGTCGCAACTTTATTGTACATTGTCATGACCTTACAGTTCAATCAGCAAGTATTGTTCCAGCAATGAGTGGTTATTTGGGCATAACTGTAAGTTTTTAATCAAAAGACTAATAGCATTTCATTATTTTAGGTCCGCGGATATTATTATGTAAAGCATAATTTCAAACTTTGTCATCCATATCTACCATGTATTATTGAGTTTGGTGGAGGACATCATCGATCATTTTACCCTCTTGAAGTCCTTTGTGTAATCCGAAACAAAATGAAAGGAGGATGTTATTAGATAAATTATAATTTTTTAAAGTTGAAAACCACATATAAATTGTTTTTTAATTTTTTAATTCACAATTAAATTGTCTTTATTTTTTAGTAAATAAATATTATGCAAATTTATAATTGTACAGTTGTATTTAAACTCTTTAAAGACAACGTTAAATTTTCTCAAGAAAATTATTTAAAGCTTGCAAGATTTGGAATTAATACTGAATATAATCCTAAAAGATTCCATTCGATAATTATGCGACTACGACACAAAGGAAATAAAACAACGGCAGCACTAATATTTCAATCGGGAAAAGTCGTTTTAACAGGCGTCCCTTCTCCCGAATTAGCAAATCAAACAGCATGGAGAGTTGTGAAAAATATTAGAGCTTCCAATTCTGCGGCAGGGAATTTCCAGAAAATTGGAATTAATAATCTTTTGGTTACGAATATTGTCGGAGCCTACAGGCATGAACAAAAATTAGCAATTGAGAAATTATTTAAACAACTTCGACAGCAAAATATTAAAGCCAATTACGACCCTACAATTTTTCCTGCACTCCGTTTCAAAATAAATGTGGAAGAACGAGATGGAGAAGTATCATGTCTATGTTACATCTCAGGACGTGTTATACTAACGGGAATAAAATCTATTCATGAAATGAAGCATGTTTTTAACAATTATATTTTACCTAGAATTAAAAAATTTCCACGAACATAATTTTTTTATTTAACAAAATATATACAGAATAAATATTAATAAAAATATAATCAAAAATGGTATCTATTTCTATAATCATTTTCTGTCCATCCGGAAGACCCAGGCAAATCTTGCAAAGTTAAAGCATTTGTATCTAAACGGGATCTTGTGCTTGGGGTTGTTGTCGTTGTATTTGATCGTTTTTGTTGACGCCTTTGTTCTACTGGTGTCTGTAAATAAGTTATTAAAAAAAGTGCTAAGAAAATTTAAATAACTATATCATTCCTCCTGTGCCCAAAAGGAAGAGTTTCCATTCCAGGCATAATTCTACCCTTTTCATAACATGGCCTGTATTCCTTCCTGGCCAGATGGGTGTAAAGCTGAGAACGACGAGTTCTTCCAATTTGAGGGAATTGCACACCAATTGAATTACCAACGAAAAAGACATCATCAGCAATCGTGTCATCACTGAATATATATTTTGTATTTTCTTTAAATTAGTTGATAAACTCACACTGCCCCATCAACATTGAATTGATTCAACACGAGTTGTTTCATAGTGTTGAAGTTAAGGAGCTGGTGTGTAGCATAAGAGAGCGGGAATGAGCGAATCTTAAGCTCCGCTCTCTCATCTAATCCTGTACTTGCGTCGACGTGTCGGTAGCCATAATTTTTTGGGCCCCCAGCGATAAATTCCAGAATTCGGCGTGTTGGAATTTCACGCTTCATTTGACCAAGATATTCACCTTCAAGTACACGCTGGCCATTACGCTTGCCGACATAGATGATGGAGTCTGTGTCGCAGTACAGGAGAACGCCGCCAATTTGATGTACCTGTTCGATATACTCATATAGATGGAGTCGAGCATATGAAGTGACGAACGCTGCTACTGGGAGGCAGTTGGTATTTGGTGCTTTTGCAAATTCGGGCTTCTTCCTTACAACACAACGGTCCAAATGCTCACTGACGTGATCAAAGTCGAGCATTTCAATTGTTGGGTCTTCTAACAATTGATGGAACTCTGCCGGTGTTTTGGCATATCGCACTTCAGTTCCACAAACTCGTTGAGCCAATTTTCCCCAGAGCGAGTTTGCTAATAATTTCTGAAAATTTAATATATTTTTAATTTTTTTCTAAAATAAATTACCGCAATCATTCGCAAACCAGGATTTGTTTCAATTTTCGCTGGGTCAAGGAAGATACCTTCAACTCGCTCAAATTCAGCTAGATATTCAGCTCGGTCCAACTCCGAGGCACAACCATCTGGCCAACCACTAGCCTGTTGTTTCAATCCAATAAATGTGTTGACATAGGATCGAAATAGATTCGGATCCCATTTTTCATAATTCCAAACCTAAATATTAAATTAAGTTAGTTATGATTATTAAATTGTTACCTCATAAATGTCGACGACTTTATACCCACGTTCCAAGGCATAATTAAGCTCTACGTGAGTATAGCCAGTCAGCCAGGAACGTTCACGTTCTCCATGTGTGCAAGGCCGTTGTTGTCTATTATCTGCACATTTAGCACAAAGGGGAAAAGTGAGGCGACCATCATGAGTTCTGTATGGAAGAACTGGTGGAAGATTTCCATTTATAAAGTTCGGAGGTTGAACTCGAACAAGAAGCAAACCCTTATAGATGTTATGCTCAGGAGTTGTCCAAGGCAAAGGGTTGTTTGGTGGAAGAAGCAATGTTTCACGAGTCAAGACATTTGGATGTTCAATAGGAAAAGATCTTGCCTTCATAACATAAGGGTAGAGACTTACCTTAAATTTTTCTATAATTTCTTTAAAATTTATATTCAAGTATACAATATCGATGTAGAGGATCTCTTCATCTTCAGCACACATGTGATGAAGTTTGAAGGGTTCTGTCCTTCCTCCTCTAAGGCAGTCTTCTCTGGGATCCATAGGCCGAACACAGTCAATTTCAAACCATTTTCTTTGTAATTGTGTGTTGTTAATCAGCTTTTCTTTAATCTCATGTCCCCAGACAACATGTAGTTGATATCCATGTTGATGCTCCAATTCCCATAGGCGTTGTTGGGTTCTCTCAAAAAGCTCTTCAGCTGTACGACCAGCTGCTAAACGTTGGTCACGTATTGGGAAGCATTTGGGACAACCTTAAAATTTTATAATATTAAAAAGTTTTATGAAAACTTTATACCGTGATAGTAACACCCCATATATTCAATTGCCAAAGGGCAAAGGGGAGGCGATCTTTGCCATAATCCATCGAGTCTATATCCGCAGTCTTCAACATGAGCTTCTCCAATTGCCCATTGGGCATGTTGAATTTGACCTGCAGACTCGGGATTTTGTAGTTCAAAAAAGCGGATGTATCGCTGCGATTCGGCTGAAGCTCGTCGTCCTCTCAAATAACCTCCTTCAGGCGAGTGAACAATCCAATTTTCTGGTAAAAAGCAGCGACGCATTGTTGTTAAAGCGAGTCCTGCTGCTGTTGATACCGTCAAAAATGGGTCGAGATTCTTTGTGTTTTCTCCAATAAGTTGTCGAAATCGGAGTACGCTCTCACGCAGAATCGCCACATCATTTACACAATACTGAATTAATTGTTCACGAAGCTGAAAGTTTGTTGTTTGGACAGATGTTTGTTGTGTATACCATTCAATGAGCTTTTCCCTCTTTTCAGCCTTCTTATATTCAGGTTGGTAATATTGAATTTCAGGGAGCCCTCTTAGCCTATAATGAAGGTGTTGTCGTTGAATAAATAGATAAGGAAAGAAGGGCTTTGCAGTAGCCAAATCTTCTGGCAAAGCAAAAACCTTTGTAAGTGCATCAAGCTCACAGAAAAAGTAGTTTAACGAGTCCTTGAAAAGCACTTTTCTTTGGTTGTTCCCTCCAAGACTCATTGAATAAATTTTGAGTCCTGTTGTGCATATTCTTGTTGGCGGGTGGCTGCGCCTATGTAGAGCTTCCAATAATAGATGAAAATCATATTTTCCTCCATTATGAGCTATGCAGATAGTAAGCATATGTTGTGAACCGTGATTAAGTAGGTAGTCTAAGAATTGGTCCACAGGATTATCTTCAGCGTTGTCAAAAGAATGGAAAAACATACGCCGATGATTGAATGTGATGTTATCTGGAAAGGCGGTGTTGTCGCCTGGAGCATTTCTGAAGGGTGGGGAACACCAATTACGCCATCGCGCTCCTCTTGGAGTCCCACAAAAACATCCCTGTGCACGTTGACCAACATCTTCAATACGAATATTAGCCCGTATACAGGCTTCACAAATAACCTATAAACAAAAATATATTTAAATTTAATTTAAAAAATTAACCTCGGCAATAATCAGAAGAGGTACATGCCTGTAGCCATTTATATTTTGGCTTATTTGTACAGGTTCATCCTGACTTGTTTCAGCATCAAAAAAACAAAGACGAATTGGTTGTCGATGATTTCTTGTTCTTTGTTGCTGTTGTTGTTCATTATTATTTTCATTATTATCTTCTTGTTCATCCTCATCAGGTTTTAATGGCTGAATAAAACATGGCTGGTCCTCTGTGTGAGGGCCATTACATATTTTACAATTTATTTGAGGTTGTTGCCGTTGTTGTTGGCATTCGTGTGCTTGTTGAGCATAAATTATGAGATGGCAATTCGAGCAAATACGACGCATTTGGCAAATGGATGCAAAATTACGTGTATCGCGTCGAACCATTTCTAGAGGAGCAGAATTGACTAGATGGTAGTCATAACATGATCGGCGTGGAAAAATGAATCCACAGTTTTGACAAGGGATTCTTTCTTCTTCCTAATAAATAACGATAAAAAAATTTACAATTTAATTTAGATATTACTTGACATGGAAATTCGGGACCTGACCGCATGCAAAATCTACAAACTACAGTGCATCCAGCCCAATGACTCCAACGTGTCACTGATCGTTCACAGTCAATACAATAACGTTTGACTCCCAAAAGTTGTTCAGGGCGACCAATGTAGTTGTAGTGGCGATTCTCCAAGAGCATACATAAATTGTAACGAGCTGCTCTTCCCTCTCCTTTAAACACAATCCGGTACTGTTGCTCTTTTTGGAAAACAACAATACGGGTGTGCCCTTCTCCATAATATTGATTTAACCATCGTTGGAGAATTGCTACATGTTCAAGCGAATATTCCTATATTATGTAAATCTGAAAAAATAATGTTATTAAATAATACCTGTAATCCATATGGAAGTCCGGCTGTATTCATTAAATAGTTTACAAAAAGCAAATGTTGTTCTTGTTGTTGACAAAAAGCTCTAAAATGAGCTGGTCCATTATTAGCATCGCCTTGATCAACAAGTCTAATTTTTGTAAGCCCAATAACTACTGCTCGAGCAAGGCAGTAGCGGTCGTTTGGATTGCGAACGCGCACAATTGAACGACATCGGGAAGACACTGCATGATCTTGATCCAGATCGCAACTACCTGTAGGAACATGACTGCCTTACATTTATTTGAGAAATGTAAGACTAGTGCGTTGGCCAGTCAAAGGCCAAACAGCTACTACTTTTGTTGTTGTTGTCCCTGAGAGAAGGTCTATCCCAGCTTGGGATATTTCGTTCAATCTCTCAATCGCTGCGGCTAATGCTGCTGCATTATTTTGTTGTACCGGTCTGAGTGGCACGGTAAACGGGTGGTGGAAATTTGGTGGCTGCACCTGAAGACCAACGCGGAGAGGCGCTGGTCTTCCGGTGAGCACCCGATCCAAAAGTTGTTCAATAAGTGTTGTTAGAGCCAAGTCAGGTCGGGGATGATCGGCCAAATTATTAAATCTGATGTGGGCGATCTCACCACGAGTATTTCGTGATTGAGATGCAAATGGCTCTATTCTTTCAATAACAAAGTAGTTTCTCATGTTTTCAATCTAAATATGAATAAATATAGTCTACTATAATTAACAAATTTAATTTTAGTAAGCCGCGTACAACTATTAGCAGTAAACGAGATCTTAAGTAGCAACCGAAAATTAATATCCTTTATAAAACAGTCAATGATATTCTATAATGTTAGTATAGATATTACACCATATAAACACTAAAACAAGATTGGAATTTGAAAGATGCAGACGAGAACAACAACCATAAATAATAAACTACAAACCTAATAAATTCAACTTAAAAATTTAATAAAGGAATAATAAAAAAATTTATTTATAATAAATTGAAAATTATATAATTATTGAAAATATTATAAAACATATCTCTAATTTTAAAAAAATACCTAAAAAAAATAATTAGAGATATGTTGGTTTTAAATATACTCAAAAAAAAATTTTACAAAAGGCAAAATAGCATATAAGTTAAATAAAGACATAATTAATAAAGAAAATAAATTTGTTTGGCAAGGAAATTATTTTTTTTCAAGTACTATTTATTTTGAGTCTCAGTGTAATTTATGATTTCTTCAGAATAATAAAGAATATTTCAGAAAATTATAAAGAAACAGAAGCAATCAAACAATAGGACAAACAAAAATTAAACTGAGTGCCAGACTCAAAATATATAGCACTTGCCAAACAAAATTATTTCATTGTCAAACAAATTTATTGCCATTAATAAATAATTTTAGTAAAGATTATTTTAAAAAATAATTTAAAAAAGGCAGGGAAAAAATTGCTTAACAAAATAGATTTTAAAATTAGAATGATAGTATTTAGATTTATGTACACATAATATCAATACCAAAGTTTAAGTGGTAATTAAAAATTAAATTTTAAATTAGAAAATGACTTAATTCTTTTTTTTATTAATATTATATTCAACTCAATTTTTATAAAGTTTTACAAATTTAGTCATTTTTTTGCAAAAAAATACTCATTGATTTTTTACGAATTGTGGTGCTGCTATTATTATTAATTATATAAAAAATACTCATTATATTTTTTTAATTGGGGTGTGGTTATTATTATTAATTATATAAAGAATACAAAAAATTGCCCCGCACGTCAAAGAACCCACTCAGAAAAAAACTTGACGTCTTTGACGTGTGGGGACACTGTTACACGTCGGGGTACTTGTGTACTTAGTACGTGTCCAAAATATCAAATTTTCAAAAAAAAAATTTTTTGTACACGTGCTAGACAAGTAATCCGACGTGTATAGCCTCCAAATTCCAGAGTAGGGCACAAAAGATTTTTAGTCAATTAAATTGCAAAATGAGAACTTTCTAATTTTTAATGTTCTACTCTCATTTTATAATTTAATTGACTAAAAATCAGTTTTACCCTACTCTGGAATTTGTAGGCCCCGACCCATATCGTATTTACAAGTAGGACAATGTCTATAAAAACGGGATAAATCCCAAAAACACGTTTTGTGCAATTTATGGGAACATGGTAAAAAAATTACGCTTTGTTTCGGCATAAAGTCACGTACACATACTCCGCAAAGAGGATCCTCTTCTTTAGATTTATATGTTGCTGCCAGTTGCACACGGGAGGCTAATAATATATTTCGCTCTTTACCATTGAGTCCTTTTTTTGGTAAATCAATATCATGAATGCTGCGTTCTCCGCGAAAATAAATTGCATCAGGATCGTCTGGTGGTACTACATAACTTACAATTCCTGGAGCTGGGGGAGTATGTCCAGGATTACCATATAATCTCTATTATATTTTTTTTTAAAAAATAGTAAAAAAAGAATAAAATTTACTTGCGGATTTGATTCGGCATGAAGCGACTGTTGTGACAATTCAGCAGAAGGTGCCACTACTTCCTACAAAAAAAGGCCCCCTAGCTTTTTTTTAAAAAAAAAAAGCTAGTGAGTATTTATTTTAGAGAGTAGGTAAAACTATCTAACGTTTTTCACGTATCCCTGTCAGAGTAATTAAAAGAGTAAATACTAATGATTAAATTAAATCCCCCTAAAATTTTTAAATATCATGTACCGTTTGATTTCTTTTGATTAAATTCGAATTTTTATTCTAATTTATTGATATATCATTTGAAAAAATTTCATGAAAAAAATTATTGTGAAAGCAATAATATTATTGTATTTGTATTAATTCGTTATCAGTAAGCTTATTCAATTTTAAACAAAAACAAAATTTAAACAAGATACTAGAATATTTGTTCATATAAATGTAAATTCAATTTTTTTAAATTCAATTTCATGCCAATTATTCAAAAATTTATTTAAATTAATAATATTTATACAGTCAGAAAGACCAAACAAAAAAATTGAATCATGCATTTTAAATTAAATTTCATACAATAAAAATATTTTCTTCTAGATAAGAATGCAATCCAATATTTTTTATTATGATTATTTAATTCAAAATTCAGTTTTATTTTACCGAATTACTAATAGAACTAATAAAAAATTTTTAAGCTTTTTTTTTTTCTTTTTAAATTTCTATTCCATCTTAAATGATAACATTTTAAATTATTTTTTTCAAAATTTTTAAAATATTTTTCTAATCAATGTTCGAAATTTTTTTTAGATTATTTTTTTCCTTCTTCAAATTTTCATTTCATTTTAAATAATACACATTCAGCATTACAATTTTATTTTTTAAAAAACTAAAAAGAATAATCAAATTCCATTTCATAAAATATAAAATTTTTTATTTTAGACAAGAATGAAAATAGATATTTTTATTATGATATATTTAATTCAAAATTAAGTTTTATTTTATCAAAATACTATAAAAATTTTTAAATATTTTACAGCTTTTTTTCAAATTTTGATTCATTTTTAATAATAAACAATTTCATTTTTTTGATTTTTTTTTCAAATCCTTTTTTTTCAATTTCATTTTAAATAATGAACAATCTCAAATTTTTTTTCAAATCATTTTTAAAAATTATTTTAAAAAATTTTTAAAAAATTTTTTTCAAAAATTTTTTTCAGTTTTAAAAATTTTTTCAAATCATTAACAAAATTTTTTAAAAATTTTTTAAAAATTTTTTTCCACTCTATTTCATTTAGTTAATAAGCAAATTCAAAAAAATTTTTTCAAGCAAGTTTCAAATTTTTTAAGATTTTTTTACATCTCTATGTCATTTTAATTACTAAACAAATTCAAAATTTTATAAATTTTTTTCAAATCTCTATTTCATTTTACTTAATAAACAATTTCAAAAAAAATTTTTTCAAGACAATTTTTTTAAATTTTTAAAAATTTTTTTTCAAATTCTATTTCAGTTCAAATAATAAACATACGTAAAATTTTTATTTTTGCAAACATAAAAGCAAATTAATCGAACGTTAAAGATTAATGAAAAATTTTTAATAAGTTTCACTCAATTTTATTTTAATTTCTAAATAAATTCAATTTTAATTTTTCTTTTCTTCGTTTTAGTAAATAAGCAAATCATAAATCTTCAAAATCCTTGAAAATTGTAATAAAAGTTTTTATTAAATTTTAAATTAATAACAATTCAATTTTAATGTAGTATTTTTTAAATAAAGTTCTAATTCAAACGGTACATGTAAAACGTTAAACCTTATGATTTATAAATACTCACATATTCAACATCTCTGTCTACAGCAGAAGTTGCATTGCTGGCATAAGAATAGTTCTGAACATTACCAACATGCGGATTTAGAATTGTTGCAGATGTTGAAGGACCTTCCTCTAAATAATATTTTTTTAAAATAAAAATTTAAATACAATTTTTTTGAAATTAAAATTTAAATAAAATTTTCGATTACTTAAATAAAATTCTCGATTACTATAAAATTTCACTCATATTTTTTTTCCCGAAAAACTTAAAATATTAAACTACCTATCATATTTGTATTCTGCTGAGACACCGCACTTTGCCCTTGTTCTACAATTGTTAAAGTTGAGCTTCTTGTAAATTTTAATTTAAATTCTATCGATCCATTCCATGTGTCTCTTTTTCCAATGTCTTCAGGAACAACTATCATGTTGGTCAATCGAATGAACTAAAATAAAAATTATTTATTATGATTATTTTAAAAATTTTTTAAAATATTAAAAATTTTTTTAAAATTACATTATTTAATTCAGCTCCTTCGAGTACCGCTGCTTGTGCTCCCCATCCAAAAACAGCCACTTTCTCACGCTCATCGGGTTTTCCAACCTGGATTAAAATGTCGGTACGGTCCCACTTATTCTTGCTCGTTAAACCTCTTTTAACATAACACACAATACCAACAAGTTCTCTTAAAATCAAAATAGAATATTTTTTTCTTATAAAAATTATTACTCAAATATGTGATCTTTTGACCAATTCAAAAATAATAGATCCGCATTTGTACACATGGATATTTCATCAAAAGGTTTAATCAGATGAATATTTTCAGGTTTAGTCTTTATAGCTCTTGCCTTTCTTTTCTCAGCAATCTAACATTTAAAAAAATTTTTAAGTAATATTTTCCTAATTATTTTTACAAAAGATTAGATCCGTTATAAATTTTTAAAAATAATGCATCAGAAATTTTTTCTTGTAATGACTTACTTCTTTAAGCAAAGCCTGTTCTTCAGTGACACTTGGTTGGTCTTGTTGTTGTTGTTGTATATTTGGAGTAGTCTGTATATTTCCTGCATTAATTACTTGGGTTGAATTTAGTGGAATTGGTTGTGTGGGTTGTGGCATTGGCAATGTATTTTGAGAAATAAGTTGTTGATTAGCTGGTCTTGGTTCTCTATAAGGTGTGTAAGGGATTGGTGACTGTTCCACTAAGTTTTGTCTTTTCGGAGGTGAGGATGAAGTTGTAGTTTTTCTTTTTTTATTATTATTAGTTGTAGACATTTTGTTTAAGATTTTACTAAATTTAAATAAATTATTAAATTACTTTAAAATTTATAATTTAAAAGAAAATTAACTTATATATAAATTTAAAAGTTTAGAATAATTTATATAATAAGTAAAAAAAAGCAATGACTATGTAATTTATGAGCTTTGTTTTAAATGGTAATGTTCAGTTTCTCTTTTGAAAGTTCATTAATTGATAGTAAAGCTAAATATGTCCCAGACAAATTTTATTTATATAAATTCCTAAGCCTTTTGTTCTGACGTATTTTTAAGACAAAAGGTTTAGGAATTTATGTAACTAAAATTTGTCGGGGACATATTTAGCTTTACTATCAATTTAATGATCTGTAAAAAAAGACACTGAACAGTACCATCTAAAAATTCTTTAAAAAAATTTTTAAATTAAATTCTGAATTTGTATTAAAATTCGTAAATTTAATTTATTTATTTTAATTTTACCGAAATTAAAGGAGCAGAAGCATTTTCATCAACAATCCTTTCTTTAGTTCCAGATTAAGCAGTAATAAGTGTTCCTCCAAGCTGAGAAAAAAATAAAATTTAAATAAAATCAGAAAATATTTAAAAGAAAACACACAGAAAATAAAATCAGAAAATAAATTTTTGTAAAAAGTATAGCTCGGAATAAGTTAAAAGGAATAAAATCAGAATTAACCAAATAAATTCTTCTAAGTACTTTAATAAACTAAGTAAAGTAATCATACTAAATAAAATAAATACAAAAAAATAAACTTGACATAAAAAATCAGAAAATAAACTTTCAATATAACTTACAATAATTTGTTTCAACCACTATGTACTTTAATAAGAGGAAAAACTAAAGAACCAATAGCACAATCAGGTGTTACAGCTAATAATTCCAATGCTGTTTGGGATATCCTAACACCCGAAAATTTTAAAAATATATATTTAATTTCTATAAATCTTTACCTTTTCAATTAATTTTCCTGGCAATCCTGGAGGTCCTTGTTTATAATCTTCTTTCTCTCCTTTAATATGAATACGACTGACCCCCAACAATGAAAATGCCCCCAACAATGGATACGACTTTAAATAAAAACTGCAAATAAATTTTAACAATAATATTTTTAATTTAATATTAATTTATACTTGTTATCCTAACAGAATAATAATTAATTTCAAAGCCACTTCCCATAATAGAAGCATCTGTAGTAAGAGTAAGTTCAATTTTGTTATTTTCAGAAATTAATGAAGGGGGTAACCAGGAACCACAAAAAGTTTTTGTATTTTCAAATGAATTATTTGTCTTTAAAAAATTAATTTAATTAAATTTTTTAAAATTACATTTAATTGATTATTTGATGATAAACAACAAATATTGAAATAATCATATAAACAATTATCAGCCCCCTCGTTGCTGTACCAATGAAATTATCTGAATTAATACCAAATGGTCGAAAACGATGAAATAACATTGATTGAGGTAACATTCTGTGACGGCCCCTTTCTAATTCAAAATGTTTAAAAACGAGAAAGAGACGATGATCCTCGGCTGCAATTAACCTTTAAATTAAGGAAATATTCTAAATAAAAGATTTTTAAATTTAAAACTTTGTTGTGCAACTAGAATTAGCCAAATAAGGGGAATGGTGATAATTGGGAGAAGTAATACGTCCAGAAGCTAATGAAACACCCTCGGGAACTAAATAGAAAAAATTAATTTTTAACAAATCGTGAAAATCTTTAACCATTTCCATCGAATTCAATACTTCGATTGCAAGCAGAAAAAGTTCGAAACGAAAACTGGTAGAGAATTGGCTTTGAAGAACAGAAGCAGTTAATTGTATAACTGAAGTACTTGAAATGTAGCATTGAGGTTCCTGAATAAATTAAAGGGAAATATCAGGAATAAATAGTGTTTTTATTTATAAATTGATTTTGGAATTAAATAAGCTTCGAGGGAACTACATTAATCCATCTAAAGAAAATCACTTATTAAAAAAATAATATGACTTGGGAAAATCCTTTTCCCCTATCCTTTTAAACAATTACTGAAATTATCACCACCTGTACGTATAGTTCTTTCCTTTTTCCCTGTAATGGTTCTGTAGTATAAGCAGGATGTTGACATTCAGTTAAAGCCCCCAGCATCACGAAGTTCCAGAAATTCATCCAAACAATATATAATTCATCCAAACAAAACTAACATAGACCATTCTTGGCCGGCAAAAAAAAAAGCTCCTCCACAATCAGAATTAATTGTTCTAAGCTTAGCCTTGAAAAATTTTTTTAATAATTATATTTAAAATAATATACTTGAAATCCAGTTCCAGCTAATTCTGTACTAGAATCGGAAGAGAAAAATACATCAATTTTGGCGATTGGGTGAAATAAAATTAGGATTTAATTCATTATTGTCAGTTAAGGGCCAAACTAATTCTATTAAATAATAAGGGTTTCCGATTTACTATTTTCAGTCAATATGCTAAAACGGACTTCATATTTAAATCCAGTCTTTAATTAGGCAATTTCATCTAAAAAATAATTTCAAAAAAATACTTTTTTATAGTTTAATTTCAATACGTTTTATCCCACAAGTAAATCCTTGTTCTCTAGCCACTCCACACAGCTACTAAAATTAAAAAAAGATAATTATTTTTAAAATATTAATAAATTAACCTTGAATTATTTAATGATGTTCAAGTCAACATCAAATCCAAAAATTTAGGTTATAGGTATACCCTATAATAAAAAAATTATTTAATATAAAAAAATAAAACGAGTAAAAAAATTTCTATCTATTTTTATGACACGGATAGTGAAAAAAATTAATAAAAAAGGTTAGAATTTGAGAATATATGTATGTAGTTGTTAGAGAAAAAAATAATGATTTTGTTATGAGCAAGCATGTTCAATGCCCCCCAAAAAAATAATTATTGCACAGAAACGCATTACCCCCCCTTCCCCCACTAGGATAATAGGATACGATTACAAATTGTTCAAGGATTTTTCTCTTTTCTTCGTTTTGTGGGGGAAAAGTTACTCGAGTAACCTAACCCCGAATTTATTCTACGGGCCCTGAGTGCGGGTGGGTTGAGGGCCAAAAGTTTTTTCAAAATAAATTATCGATTGATTGCCCGCCGGCCCGACTCGACACGGCCCCCGCTTCAGGCTACAGCCACCCGCGTGTCAAGAATTTCCTCAGGCCATATTTGATACCTTTTGGATTCTGATGCAATACTTTTGATCACCCAGCATCGACTTCGGAATCGCCTTCAGAATCGCCTCAGAATCCTTTCAGAATCGCTTCAGTTTCCCTTCAGAATCGCTGCAGAATCGCTTCAGAACCACTTCAGAATCGCCCTCAGAATCGCTTCGGCATCGCCCTCAGAATCGCTTCAGAATCGCCCTCAGAATCGCTTCAGAATCGCCCTCAGAATCGCTTCAGAATCGCCCTCACCTTACTTATCCCCCGCACTACTCCATTCAACCCCCACAACCTCCTATAGGAGTGGGTTAACAAAGTATTGATCGATTAGAACAAGAGAGCCTGAAGAGACCGGTTATATGGGAAGAGAGTAAATTTTTTCTCTGACTTCTCTAACCAAATAATCGGTCTCTTCAGAGCCCTCTTGTTCTAATCGATCAATACTTTAATAATGGTAATATAGTAGTATTGATAACAATATCTAAAGAAATTTGTTTAGTATAATATTGGGGTTATGATAATTTCAGGCGACAATTGCAGATATAAAATTTTTAAAAAATTATTGAATGCCCAATTTTGAAGTTTTTTAAAGACATTTACCCCGGTTTTCCGTTGATTTTCGGGTTTTCAGATCTCGATGAAGGATATATATTAGAAATTAGTTTCTTTTGTATTTTCTTTTGATATCAATAGATATGTTTTAGGAATTTTTGTAGATTTTTCAGACTGCTTAAGTTTTGGCATAAATGTCTAAAAATCACTATATTTGTTGATAGATACTTGAATGCTTACTTAAGCTAGTAGGAATAGGATCGTCTTATCCCCATTTAATATATTTTAATTAATTTTATCGCGATTTAACGTGATAAACCCAAAATATTGAGTGAACGTTTAGTTATGACGCGCACTGTATTGGCGTGCGCGTAATAACGTCGTAATACCGTACCGTGAATAACACTAATTTAGATACAATTGCAGATATTATTGGAGCGATGCATGTGTTATCTATTACACCTCGCCGCCTAATGCACAGCCTTAGGAATTAAATATACATAAATTAAATATATCAATAAATCTTTTAATTTTTTAAAATTTTATATTGGCAATTGTCGTGCCGCCTTAAAAATCGTATCAATTAACAAACCGTTTCGTCATAGAATTCCTCTACATTTTCTTCTCCTCTCTCAAATAGACAAATTAAAATCCCCCTTCTATAATTTATAATTAAAGTTTCAGTAAATTGTAATTTAATTATTTCATCCCCAGCATTTTCAAAAGAATAAATTTTTGTATTTTCATTATTATCGCAATCCTCATTTAGAGGGGATATATAGAGTTCTCCTTTTTTTATTATAATTGAATTAAATTCAACAAAAATTTCTATCAATTTTTTATTTTCGTTAATATAAATATTTTTTAAATTAATATATTCACTACTATATCGTTTAATATTAAAATTTCGATCATTCAATTGTTGAATATTTCCAAAAGAAAAATTTAAAAATAAAATTAATAAAAGACAAAAATGGAAATATATTAACATTTTTGGTGAATATTTATTAAAATTAATTAAAAATTAAAAAATATATTTATAACGGCGGATCCGGATATCCGAAGATTTCCATCTATCCGCCAACCGTAATATACAGGCCTTTAAATTCCATTATGGAGGAATTTTTTCCGACTTGTAGGAAATTTCAAGGGATTTCGAATGTCTAAAATGAAAATTCAAAATAATCCATAAGTGTCATGTTAGTTATTCACTAAAAGGTGTGTATTTAAATTTTCAGAAAATTAGGATAACTGAAAAAGATCGAGAAAGAGGGTGAAAGTATATGTACTGCGAAGGGTTATTTCTACGGTTGCGGACAACCAGCATCTTCAATAGACCGGACTGCTTTTTTATTTCTATTATACCACGCCTGGATAGATTTAAGAATTAAATAGCTATATGCTTTAAATTATTTAATGAAAATTTATTTATTATATGAAAGAAAAATTTGAAAAAGTGTGTTTTGAAATGTACTATATATACTACATATATAATAGACAAAATAAAAAATAAAAAAATAAATGCCGCCCTTGTATAGTACATATTTAGTATTCACGTGAATATTGCATCATTATTTTTTAAGAAATAATGCACTTTATTAATTGACTTTTTATTAATTAAAAATGAATAGACAAGGTTTTTAAAATAATTAAATTATTTAATTATGTATGTTCAACAATTATTCATGTTGGTGAACATAATGTTGAAAAAATCTTTAAACTCTTAATTTTCACTTTAATGCATGTACGATTAACACTAACAAAATTACAAAAAAAACTCGAAAAGGATAGGTAAAAATTAATAATAGATTCAAATCAAAAACAATAACCAAGAGTAAACCTGGTCGAAGAAATTAGCAGCTTTATTACTTAAATCTCAAAATTTAATACATATTATCAAAATCTGTCTGCTTATTATTTTGGTGTGCGGACATATCGGGATTGGGGTGACAAAAATAATTTCTAGCGTGTTTACGTTTGTATTAAAACATAAAAACTCTATTCCTCAATAGACAATATACTATCCAAGACCCATTGGCCGTAGGTCCCGAAATCAGTAGGGTAACTGTTCGTGATTTTAGTAGTCGATCATCTCGATTATCGAAATTTAGAATTTTTTGAGATCATAATTCTCGTACGATATTTCAAACCCTGTCTCTAGTTATAATAATATTTGTTCAACCTCTAATTTATTCTGCGAGCCCTGGGTATTTTTACATTCTGGGTTGATCCCAAAAATAAAAATTTTAAATTATTTTTGCTTCAAAAAAGTGCTTGGATTTTTTCTTAAAATAGCTCAAAAAAATTTTAATTTCCTTTTTCATATTCTAAATTTGACAATATTTTAAGCATCTATTCATTTTAAAAAATAATTATTTGAATATTCTTCCCGTCTCAGACGTTCAAACAAATATTTTTTGAGCGAACGCTATTCAACTTTGAGCGACGCTATTATAGCCAAATATAAAATACATATGTAAGGTGTCAAGCTTTTCGTCAACGTCTTTAATTTTAAAAATTGTGTATTTACAAAATTAGGGGTATAATTTTAGTAACTATTTTTTAGGAATCCTCTCCCTTTACTTTTCTGAAGACTTTTCCCCTTATTTTAGACATTTACTTGAAATTTAGACATTTACCATTCCATGAATAATTGCCCGGACAGGCGACTAAGCTTTACTTACTATTTTAAAAGATCTTAAACACCCGTATGGTAAACGTTTCAAATGTTAGCCTGTTGGATCTCCCTTCTTCCCTACAATAGCTATAATACCTACATAAATATCTGACGTGATTAAAATTCACAGTAATTTTTTACTTCAAGATCCTCTGCTATAATAAAAATGTTTATGATGCTATTAATATTAAATTTAATTCAATTAATAAATATTTATCTTAAATTTGCTTCATGCCCGCCACTACCAAATCCAGATCCATATCCTAATTTTATTTGTCAATTTGAACATTATTCATTGAATCGTGCAAACATAACGCATATGCCGTACACTATGAGACGCAAGTTTTGATTAAAATATACAGTCAATTTTATTAATATCCATAAATAGTCGAGATTAGACGATATCCATCATCTAGTCCTTTTAATCTTTCTACAACCCTTTAATCCGTTTAAATCCTTCTTTTAATTTGTAATTTGTGAATTGGTAATATCAGGCGATTTGGAGAAGAAATCCTCCATATCCTTTTTAACCTCTAAATTGGAGATATCTGAGGATTTGAAGTGATGTTAGTGAATTTGTGGAGAAAATTTTGTCATTCATTTACAATATTTTTCATTTTTTCTCGAGTTTTTCAGTAGCGAAAAACGGCGCTATTGCGATACTGGAAAACTGCCTGGGACGGTAAAGGTACCGCTAGTAGCAGAGAGAACAGGTCCGGTACTTACGTTAGTATTTAAAAAATTACATTCGGGCTAATCATTTTGAAGGTTAAACCTTAATTCCCAATATTTAAGTTTTGATATCAAACTTATTTATGCTAATGTTAACAAATCCACATAGTCTCGTGTCAAACATTAATTTAAGTCTTTGGAATTTAGTTAATCTTCGTCGACGTTTGTTTTATACTGCATATGCAGAAGTTGAACTTGCCCGCAATGAGATGGGCCCGCCAAATGCTCTTCAAGTCAGAGAAGAGGAACACGACAAGTAATCTAAAATTCGTAAATACACTAAGTAGGCTCTCGAATCTATATATTCATCTCTAAAATTAGATAGCCTTAAATTGGTTGAATACTAATGGGGAGAGCTATATATAGTAGTGATGTTCGGAGATATAGTAGTGATGTTCGGGAGAAGAAAAAACCCGGGAATCGGGAAACGGGAGTCGGGTCGGGAAATGACCTCGGGAGTCGGGATCGGGAGTCGGGAATTCACATAAAAAAATTTTGGCGCCTTCGGCGCCAAAAATTCCGTTTTTTTGTCTTGCAGGCAAAAATTTTGTGTATTTTGTAAAGTGAAGAAGCCAGATATCTTCCATTTTCAGCGCCGCAGGCAAAAATTTGAGAACTTGGAGGTCGTAGACAAAAAAAATTCACTTTTCCGATCTCCATATTCCTTCCCTTCTGCCTTTCGCCAAGTTCGTGGCTGGGGATGGGTGGGGTGGGGCTTTACCTATTCCATAGGGTTGTACCCCGAACGCTCGGGGGCGGGTATGTCGGGGTACGGGGTTTTCCAATTGTTTCGGGGCGGGGTTCGGGTCGGGGGAGCAAAATATGGCCGGGGTTCGGGTCGGGGTACGGGGGTTTAGTGGAAAAATTTTTAGAGAAAAAAATGCTCAAAAATAGTTAAAAATCGATATATTTTCGTTGATTTATTAAAAAATTAAGTAGGATTTGAAGTATTAGAGGGGATTTGAAGAGATTAAAGTGTATAACTTGGGATATAAGTGGATCTGGAGGGATTAAGTGGGATTTTTAGGGATTAAATCCTCCGATTACCATTCAACTTCCATTTACAGCGCCGCAGGCAAAATTTTGAATATTTGGAAGATCCTTAAGGCAAAAATCTTCCATTTTTTGCGCCGCATGCGAAAATTTTGAGAATTATAGAAGGCTAGAAGCCAGATTTCTTCCGTTTTTTACACCGCAGGCGAAAATTTTGAAAATATTGGAAAAATCTTCGTCGGAAATTTGCCTTAAAAATTTTCGGAAATCGGAAATTTTTCCAAAATTTCGGAAATCGGAATTTCGACCCACTTCTGATACAGGGGTTGAAGGATTAAGGGTGGTTTAAGGGATATTAGTTAAAAATAAAATTAATATTTTCAAATTAAAATTTAACTCGTTAATAATTTGTTTTTGTAAAGAAATATAAAAACAATAGAGTTCTCCTTATATGGATCCGAACGCAATCCTATATTAACAAAATATTTGCTAAAACCAACGACTAAACCACTCAACCACAAGTCTATTAATAAGGAAAGAAAATTATGATATTTCATTCATTTTTCTTTCAAAAATAATAAAAGCAAAATGTGTGGAAATTTTTTAAATTTTCTCCATTAATTTCTCCAAAAAATGTCATTTTTTAGGGGTATAAAACCCCGATAACCCCGAAATTTTTTTGGCCGGGGAACGGGGTTTTCACTTTTTTTCGGGGCGGGGTTCGGGTCGGGGAGAATCGTGAAAAAATCGTTCGGGAACGGGGTCGGGGTTCGGGGTACGGGGTCGGGGTACAACTCTACTATTCCATCAAACTTTTCACCGCTTATCCGAAAACCAAACTATTCCAGGGAACTTTTCACCTATTACATCGAATTTTCCACCTTTTAATCTTTTCAATCCCTCTTAATCTCAAATTCTTTGTCTGCGCCGCAGGCGAAAATTTTTTTAAGTTTGGAAGTCTAAGAACCAGACTTCTTTTATTTACCGCCGGAGGCGAAAATTTTGAGAATTGGAAAGCCAATGAGCAAAAATTTTTTAAATTTGAAATATCAAGAAATCAAATTTTTCCTCCCTCGGCGTCGCAAGGTAACTTTTTTTAAGTTTGAGGCCAAGAATCCAGATATTCTTCATTTTCTGCGCCGCAGGCGAAAATTTTTGAAAATTCATGACTAAATTTTTTTAGAGTTTTTTCACGTTTACTGATATGTATTACAAAAAATAACCTTCAAATTTTAAATTAATTAATTTAAATTAACTAATTAAACTAAATTAATTTTTCTATAGTTTCTTGACGTTTTAATATTGAAAAAAATAATTTTAAAATCAAAATGAATGTTAACTCAACTCAACCACCTATCAACAATAGCCAACTGGGAAAAAATCTAATATTTTAGTTTCCCTTTCCCTTTTTTATTTTTTTTCCTTTATTTTTTCCTTTTAAAAATAAAATTTTATCAGAAAAAGCCATTTTTAGGGGTGTAAAAATTTCCCGACTTAGTCGGGAATTGACATCGGGAGTCGGGGTCGGGATCGGGAGGCCAAAAACTCGGGAAATTTCCCGAGTCGGGTGTCGGGAGTCGGGATACCCGAACATCACTAATATATAGTAAAGCAGCTGGGCTATAGCTATTTCTCTCCTTTAGCTACTGCAAAAGGTTAATCGGCGGCTGGGAGATAACCAGCATCTTCAGTAGACCGGACTGATGTGTTACATATCCCTTACACCACGCCGCCTATCCCTATTGTAAAGCTATATGCTTTACAAGATGAATACCCAGAAATACCCTCATTTAAAAACATTTTTAGGCACCAATGGGATAACGTATAGGAAACCTATCCCCCTCTTCTTTACAGGCAGAAACAATTTATATTTTCAAATTTTAGTGACTTTCCTGATAGAAATGAATATACTCTTGAACATTTTACTTACACACTTTATCACAGAAATCAAAGAAATCAAGTTGTTCCCCTTCAGGGTTACCAACCATTAATCAATCTACGAAAAGGAGAGAATTATGATGATCCTGAAAATTTTACTCATCCTATAAGAATCAGAGAGAACATGCAAACTGAAATTTTTTATTTTGTGAACTTGAGACATCGACAAAATATAGAATATTATGTTTACAGTGAAAGACACGTTCTCTTCCCTAGAAGTAAAATAGTTAGATTGGAACAGTCAATTGAGCATAGGGCGGCGATTGATGGATCAACTATTACAATTGAACAATATCGTGTACAAAAATATAAACTTAGTCGTTAATTTGTGGAAGAAGAAAATAAAGATGAGGAATTAATTAAAATGATTGTTTGAAATTTTATTTAAATGGATTGAAAAATAATTTTTGAATAATTTTAGAATTTTCTGAATAATTTTTGAATCAACCCTATCCATCTGGTAAATGTGAAGCTCACAATTCTGCAAAAGACATGGAGGGGTTTTTCAGAATGGAAGGGTTTTTATTAGAGTTCATTCGCATAATTTCTCTTCAACCGGAATTGGCAATGCGCGAAAAGGAATAAAGAAGAGGGGGAAGGAAGAGGGGGGAGGGAATATGTAAATAAAAAGAAATTTTAGAAATTTTAGAAAATTGTGCAAAGAAGTGGCCAATTTTAATTGGCTTTTTACTTTTGTCTTCTATATCCATTTCAACCCCTTACATTCTTACGAACCTCATTTTTAATCCCAAAGAAATTACATCATACTGAGGTTAGACTGAAGTATTGGCAACGCAAAAATATTGGCAAGGAAAGATTGAAAAGTAATAAAGAATGAAATTTTGTTGAATCGAAAGATCAGGGGGCCAAAAACGTTTTTAAATTATTATTTTCAGCATTAGGAAATTAAAATTTAAAACAATCCTTAAGGGTCGGAAATATTTTTAAAGAATCTTATACCTGCTTTACTATGATTTTTGAGGTTTCAGGATCTCGATTTTGTTTAAAGGTCTATTTTTTCTTAATTTTTTGTTGCAAGATTTTCTTAACTATTTAATAAAGTGGGTGTATAGTTTTGGTTCACAATGTATGTACATAAGAATTTATAATTTAATTGCAAGTAATTAAAAAAAGGGAGAGGGAGTTAACTGATAAAGACCATTTTTAGCTTAAATTTTTCTTTTGAAAATAAATAAAGAATTATCTAAACAAGCTAAATGGGAGTAATTAGAAAGAGCTTTAATCTTTTTTCATAAAATTTTTAAAAAATGATAGCACCACTTTTCAAGTCCGGACTAAAATTTCCTATTTAATGAGGGCTATTCACACCCTAAAAAATCATTTTTATCTTAAAAATTAACAACAGCAAAAAATGTCCATTAAAAATAATTTAGCCTTCCCTCTAATTTTATTTTTCTCCATTTATTTATTTTTCTTTTTAAATTGGAATTTTGTTGAATCGAAAAATTTGGAAAGCCGAAAACTTGATATTTTAAAAATGCAAAAAATTTTAAGTAAAGGAGGAAAGAAAATCCATTTTAATAAAGAGAAGAGAATTTTTAGAAAAAATAATGAAGAGGGATTTTTTGTTGATTTTGCTTTGGTTATTTGTAATATATACAGTGAATATCTTGATAGAAATATTTTTGTGGACTTTTGTTATAGTGAGGAAAAATATTTTGATAATTATTGCGATTTGAAGTCGTTGAGTAATCCAATTAATGCAACATTTAATGTAAGTTAAGAAAATACAGCTAGACATCCCTTTATAAAATATTTTCTTTAAAATTTGATTAGCCACTAAGTGGGGGGAGATGTCTAAGCGTGGGAGATCTATCTAAACAATACCCCCACTTATAGTTAATAAAAATCTCATTAGGAAAAGTGTACGCCCAATAAACCGCTAGTCCAAAGTACCGCTAAGCTACATATAACTTCGTTTGAAGTGATCGAATCCGAGACGTCCTGTCATGGTTCGATGCACCTCGACATGCTGAATCGAATTGTACCAGGGCATCCCGGATTCCGAAAATTTTGAACGAGGTGGCCTGCTCCCTTATATAAACACATAACTAAGATCTGAAGATAAACAATCTTAAGTAAACAAATTCAACTTATTGCTAGAAAAATAAAGAATGGGTTTTTGGAAAATTCAATTTAGCTGGAAAAATTGAATTTTTACTAAAATTTGATTCTCGATATGGTCACCCTCTATTTACCGAACCTTTCAAATAAATCGAGATTAGTCTGTATATATTTGAAATTAAGGATCTAAACTTTGATAAAATTGTTATTTTCGTTGATCAAGTCGTTGATAATAAAGGAGAGACCCTTATAAATGTTGGAAATAATATTGAATTTGCACTTTTTACTCCGTCTAGAGACAATGTCATAAATGGAAATGTTAAAAATATTGAGAAAATTGCAAAGGAATTGAATGCTCTAGTTGATGATGAAAATAATTATTATTTAAATGAAAAATGTACTAATTTAAAATCTGAAGGGGAACCAACAATTGGTTTAAAATTTAAAAATTTAAAGACAACAATTAATGTTTCTGGAAAAGATATAGCAAACCATGGGGTAAATAAATTTAAATATATATGTTAGAAACACTTAAAAATTTGTAGGGGATAGTCATTACCTTATTTGAACCAAAATACATCAAGTTAAAAATCAACAAAAAATCCATAAAACAATTATGGCCCTTATGTTGTCCCCCCCCCCCATCTTAAAGTTTTTCAAGCCCTCCTCCCTCTTCCCCAAATTTTTGTTGATTTCTAAATAGATGTATTTTGGTTAAACTAAGGTAAGAATCGGAATTGCTACCCTTGGAAACTTCCCGTTAATATTAGTTGGAATATTCCCGATAATATTCCCGGTACTGACCATTTTGTACATCAAGGAAAAATTTACTCAGGAAAGGGGCAAAAAAGTACCGAAATTATTTTGGATTTTTAAGTATGAAGATAAATGTGCACTTGGACTGGGAATTGACAAGGAAAATCAATTGAAAATTTCATCATATATTTTCCAAAATTATTGTGTTTTATTTGATACTTTATTGAATCAAATAGCTTTTGCACCGAAGGTGGTAAAGTCGGAAGATATGGATATAAAGGCGGAAGATTTTTGTTAAAGAAAAGAAGAAGAATTTAAAAAGATTTGAAATTTATTAATTAAGAACGAGTTATGTAAATTCATAAAATTTATTAATAGAATGTATAGAAAACATTTACTTCATTTCACATGTTAAGTTGATGGCCCTGCTCAATCCTAAAATATTTTTGTTTAATCTTGAAATACATAGCGAATGAAAAAATTATCAATACTTTTAAAAAATTAATTATAACCATCTAATCAAAAATTATTAGCTAAGAAATTAATTGAAAAAAATGTTTAAATTCTAAAAATTAAAAAATGTTTCCACCAAAAATAAATTTTAATTCAAAAAAGTGCTCTAATTTTTTTCTTAAAATAGCTCAAAAAATATTTTAAATTTATAATTTCTTTTTCATATTCTAAATTTGAAATATTTTCTTTAAAGTTTATTTATTTAAATAAAAGTTTGAATATTCTCTCCGTCTCAAACGTTCAAACAAATATTTTTTAAAGAACGCTTTCAATTTTTTATAGCCAAATATAAAATATAAAGATGCTTTATTGCTTCTTTATTTTTCAATTTCCTTCGCTTCTTCGGACAATTAGAATCAAAACACTAAGGAACTTAATTTGGGACATCTCCGGACAGTTTGAACTACTGAGATGTTTTTACCCTCTATTTTACTAGATTTAAACCCCCACTTTATAAAGGATACATATCTCCTATGCCTTAAAATAGTTACTTAAATATCTGACTTGACTGAAACTCATTGTAAATTTCTTCTATTTTTATTAGAGTTCGAACTTTTCACATTGCCGGGCTCGGTATTCCGTCTTTCTTCCAAGATGACCCGGACCACGGTTTCAGAGGTTTCCGGGCTCTCTGAAATCTGAAAACCCCCGGATTTTATCAGAACACACGGCTTTCGGACTATCGGGCCCAGAAGTCTCATGCCAAACACTCCTGGGTCCGGACTGGATTCGAACACTAATTTTTATTCCAAGATCCTCTACATTAAAATGTTTATGAAAATAGTAATATTAAATTTAATTCACCTAATAAATATTTATCTGAAATTTGTTTACACTCAACCACAACCAGTTACCTATAATGATTTTATTCTTCAATTTGAACATTATTCAATGAATCGTGCAAACATAACTCATATGCCGTTCAATTATAAATGCAAGTTTTGATTAAAATTTGCAGTCGATTTCCTATCACAAATAGGTTAAGATAAGGATAAGATATCCACGTTTTATAAAGTAATATGAATAATAAACGGCGAGATTTTGGTAATAAACGGCGAGATAATAAACGGCGAGACTACTACTTTTACAGCAGATTTTTTCTGAGTTTCGACGCAAAACGAACAATAACTGTAAAATAGAGATAGCCTAGTCTGAAAAATGTTAAGATAAAGACGCCCTGGTATGTTTCGATTCACTACAAAAAATATTGCTTTAATCTCAAGAAATATTCATGTTTACAGTCTCATGCCAAATATTAGCATATATTTAAATCTTGAAATTAAGTTCAACTTCGTCAACATTTGTTTGAGTCTGCATTTGAAGAAATTCAACTTGCCCGTGCTGAGTTGGGCCCGGCAAATCCAAATCAAATTATAACATTTGAACACACAGAGTAATTTAAAATTCGAAAATATTTACTATGTATCTAACTACACATTAGCTAACCTTAATTGATACTATAAGGAAGAGAAAGACCAAGCTGGCTAACATTTAAAACGCTCACTAGGCGGAGGTTTTAAGATCTATTAAAGGACCGCAATTGCGTAAATTGTGTGATTTTTTAGACTTGGTGACCTGGGCCGCGGCTTCACGGCCAAAACCTCGAGAACTCTGAAATCCAAAAAGCCAGATTTTATCAAAACACACGGATTCCGAACTATCCGGGTCTAGGAACTCCGGTCCTGGGACCCACACTCTCAACTTCAAATAATATTTTTGAGCTTTGAGTGTATTGATGCCATAAAAAATCGGAAGCGGAAATCTAAAAAAAGCCCCCCTCTCCCTTCCTTATTTTAACTTAACATTTTTAGTAACTTTGCTGATCTAAACCAAGAGACTATGGAAGTTTTTGACTACAAACTTTATCATCAAAATCAAAGAGATGAAGTTACTCCACTTTTTTCTCACGTGTCATTAATTAATCAACAAATGGGAGAAGAGACCTTTAACGATTTTGAGAATTTTACTCAAACTGTAAATATTAGAGGAGACATGGAAACTGAAATTTTTTGTTTTGTTAAATTTAAAAATCAACAAAATAATGAAAGGATGGCCTACAGTGAAAAACATGCTCTCTTCCCCCAAGAAGCAACGACGGTTAGATTGGAACAGTCTATAATACACGAAGCGACTGACGGATCGACTATTAAAATTTATCAATATCGAATACAAGTATATAAAGTTAGTCATGAATAGGAGTTAAAGAAAGATAATGAATTAACGAAAATGATTGTTTTAAATTTTATTAAAATGAAATTTGAAAAATAATTTCTAAAATAATTTTATGTTTTTTGAATAATTGGTAAGAATAATGCAACTCATTTACTTCGACCGATACAACTCAAAACATAATTTTTGGACTTTATCAATTTTAGTACGAATCTCTTTAGCCCAATGAGTGGAAACGTTTAATACTAAATTTGTTAAGATTCGGAAATCTTGAAGCAAGTTATGGCCACGCTTTGTTTTGGGCGTGTCCCACTTCAGCTCATACCCAATACATCCGCAAGCCCAAAAGGGTTAAAGTCCAAAAACGGATAAAAGTTACGGATCCCAGGAGATTTCCCAGGAAATCGTCAACCTTATCTATTATATGAAGGAAATAATTACAATCCAATGTAAAATAAATTAGACAAAACTTTTAGTAGGGTTGTATCCCGTCCCTGAAAGTCGGGGAATTTACGAACTTTTTTTGAAAATTGCCCGCCCCCCCCCCGTGACTAAAAAAATTTTTTACCCATCCCACTGCCTCTCCGAAGATTTTCCCCTTGCCCCCCCCCCCTGTCTTGAAACAACCCTAACTTTTAGAATATTTATTAATATCCTAGCAATCAAAATTATTTTGTGGTCTAACCCAGATATCTTTAAAAAATTTATGAAAAAATATTTTTATTCCAACAAATATTTATTTATTAAAATGCTAATCGACAAATATATTTTGATTAAATTATAAATTTAAAATAAAGGCCCTGAGAATTAAAAACAAGGCAAAAAAATTAGAAATTACAAAATAAATGAAAAAAAATAAATTTATATATTGCTTGTATAGGCAGTTTTATTGGTTAAATAAATTGTTTTTATGGCCGTTAATTAAATATTAATTATATTTTAAGAGTTTTTTTAAATTTAAAAATTAAACGAAGAAAATAAAATTTAAAGAAAGAATATGGGCAATGTGGTAAAATTAATAAAAAAAGAATTTAATTTTGAATGGAAAAATTTTGATTAAATTTAAGCAACAATTGCCAAGTATTTTCAAAGTAAAATTAGTTAGACCCTACAACTTTAGGGCAGAAAAAATCGCACACTAAACTGATGTGTACGCAATATTGGGGGTATTACTTATTGTTAGGCGGCTCCTATACCCAGTGGTCAATCTGATTTTTAAAAAATGTAAACTAAAGAGTGTTCACTTTTAGTTAGGCTTTTCACACAAGTGTGATCCAACTTCTTAGAGGGGATCCAACTGATCATTTAGTAGACCTTACCTAACCCTATACTTCTATATAAAGGTTAAAAGACCATTTTAGGAGATTCCCCAAATTCTTTACACCTAATAAGCTATTTGTAAGAGCATCATGTCATCAATACTTGGGATAAATTTTAGAATTTTATTTCGAAAGAACACTTAAAATTAATTTCCTGTGAACCTTTAAAAAAAAATTTTTTAAGTGATCTCTAAAATCCAAAAAATCAGAACTAAAATGGACTTGCCCAAGCACAAAATAGGTGTTTAAAGACACTAAAAACCCCCTTAGTTTTTTTAAAAAGAAATCAGATTTTTCAATTTTTAAACCAAAACAAAAAAAGAATAAATAATTAAAAAAAGGCAGCATTTTATTAAAGTAGATAGCAGTGTGTGTGTGTGTGTAGTTTTTTGAAGAGATTTTAAACAAATAAATGATGATTAAAACAAATTTTATTGTTAAAAATACAGTCGAAAGGGTAACAATTTATTTTTTAAAAATCAAAAATAACTACAATTTTTACCAAATCCAAGAAAAAATTTTTTAAAAGAAAATTCTCCGACTGTATTTTTCAAAATAAGGCAAGCGAACCAAGGAGAAAAATTTGAAAAGAAAAAAAAATAAAATAATCAAAAAAAAAGAAAAATAATTTATATTAATAGAGAGAAAAAATGTTAATTAAATAGATATATTCCAAATAAGGTGAATGTTTTGTTGTGTTTCTGAGAATTGATCATATTTTTTGGGAAACAAAAACAAAATTCTATTTTGAATTAAAACAAAAATGGGAAGAAAAACAAACCAAGTGTTTAAATAGAGTTTAATGGACTTTTTTTTAAAAGAAAAGCAAAACCTCCCTCAGCATTTTTCCAATTTAAGCCCAAAATTTCGTTGGAATTTTTGGGTTGAGCTGATCGGTGACTTCTGCAAAATAGCTAGTTCGTTGGTTGTCCAATGCTTGAATGGCCTCTTCTTGACCTTGTCCTGGTGGAGGAAGTTCGAAAACTTGTGCGTTGGACCCATCAGAGCTAAAAAAGAGAAAAAATCTTTTCCAAAAGAAAATTTAAAAAATTTACGTGTGCATTTTCCAATTGTTTCTGCCTCGCTTTGCCAACTCGTCAGCAGAATAGAGAACTCCGGGAACGGCTGTAGACATAGCACAAATACCGTGGGAATAAGCCAAACTGAAAAATTTAAAGTCAAAACTTGATAAAATTTTAGAAAATTAAAAACTAACGCATAAGTGATGTACTCGATTTCTTCAAGCTTCATTTGTGGCATTCTAGCGGACGGTCCCTGAGGTGGTCGAAACTCGTGTACGACAGTACAGCGCAACGGCTGGGCAGTTCCCTAAAAGAAAATTTTTTTATAAATTCAAATAAAATCAAAAAATACTTGTAGAGCCTTGTGAGGAATCAACAAAAATTCTGTCAACGCAGCATTCATTACTCCCTTATCCACAACAGTTCCAGGCTGGCAGTTTTGTTCAGGGGCCCTTCCTCGGCTGTTGATGCGTTCAGGAACGATCTGAAAACTCGAATCGATTTATAAGAACAAAGATAACAAACTCGATAGTTGGACTGGCGCTGACATACAACAATAGTGATGGCAGGGATGTTAAATTTTCCCTTGCGTTCATGCGAAATTTCCTTGCATGCCAATTCAATTGCACCGCCTTCCCAACGAGAGACCTCAAATTTAAAAAATGAAAAAATTTTTATCATTTAAGAAAAAACCTTTTTGAATTCTCCTTCAGAAGCGCCCCCTCGAAAAACAATCAAATGTTCAGGGAATTGATCACCATTTTCCGTTTCATAAATATACAAAGCATTTTTGACTGCATCTACAAGAGGACGCATTTGCTCTTCCTTCATGATGGTAGTTCTAGCTTGCTGGAACCAATAAGTTCCTCGAAGTTTAAGCATTTCACGGCTAGTAGTATAGGCCATCTAAAAATTAAAAAATGCTTTCTATGAAAAAATCAATAAATACATACTCCGACAACTGTTGGAATTGCAGGGGCTTTTCCCGTTTGACGCTCAAATAAAGTTTGCGGTGGAGCATGGGACATTCCAATACCAAAGAACATTCGTCGGCCGCCCATCCAAATCTCACTACTAGAAAATTATTAAAAAAAATTTTTAATAATTAATCTATGGATAAGAATCACTTACAAAACATCCTGATTGTTCCTTATTGCTCTCTTGAAAACATCAGGCGTAACAATATTAAAGTTGGAACCTCCCATTTTCAGGTTGGTCTTCATCAAAATGTTCTCAAAAATCATTGCTCCACCGCCACCACCTCCAACTCCTTTTGACATCATTTTTGGTCCGACATGTTGAGTGAGAATGTCTACAAGAAAAAAATCAATTAGAAAATAAAAATCCTTTAAATTAAAAAACTAACCATACTTCTGTTCACAATATTTCATTACATGGTGGAAATCACCAGCATGTGCCCTTTCCTTTCCATCAGCAAAAAACAACACAAACATGCAACGATGAGTGGCATAGAATTGGAATTTCTCACTGACATAATCACTAAAAATTTAAAAATTAGGCTTCAAAAATTATCAAAAAATACATGCTCGTCTCCGCATAATGATCCACACGTTGTGGCAACATTGCGTTTCCAATACCTCGACGTTGGGCTGTTTGAACAAGCTGCTCACAGAAGCGTCTTAATAAACAAAAAATTAGTTTAAACTAATTTAAAAAATTATATTACTGGCATTGATCCATCTGAACACAATTTTGAAGAATAACAACAGCCCAAAGCTTTGGCCATTCAACAGGGTTTGTGAAACGACGATTCTGGGCGCCACCTCCAATCAATTTCCAATCAAGGGCTGTAAAATAAATTTTAAATAGAATCCAAAAATATAAAAAAATTCGGCGCTACTCCAGTTTATGCGTCCAATCGACTTTTATGCGTCCAATGAAAGTTTATGAGTCCAATAAAAAGAAAATTAGATTTTTCTTGGATTGCACAGTTGTGGTATGGGTCCACAACATTTCTTCATGTGCGGGACCTACGCCCACTGGGTCTGGGACCATTCCTTACCCTATACCTCGAAATTTTTTAAAGTTACAGCCAATTTTTTAAAATTTCAGAAAAACGATTATAACTTTCAGAAATTTCGAGGGGTCGGGTAAGGAACGGTCCCAGACCCAGTGGACGTAGGTCCCGAACATGAAGAAATGGTTTGGAGCCATAACCCAACTTTACAATACCAAGAAAAATCCAATTTTCTTTTTATTGGACGCATAAACTTTCATTGGACGCATAAAAGTCGATTGGACGCATAAACTGGAGTAGAGCCAAAAATTTTCAAAACCTCCATTCTGGCTAGGCTCAACACGATCTGGATTGTATTGAATGGCAGGAGGGAAGAGCATCGAAGCTTCCGTTTTGCACAACTGCGGATCAATGCGGACATTGTGCGCCGTAAAATAAGAATTCATATTTTGAAGCATTCCTTGGTCGCGTTGAATGGTGATTTGCTCCTGCATTGCAGCCGGCAGAACTTGGCATTGCCTGATCATTTGCTCAGTCAACTTGGGCGTTTGCTTATCAATTGGAACTCGTTGACCTTGTCTAAAATGAAAAATAAGGAATTTAATTAAAATAATTTTCTGGGATATTTTGTCCAATTAATAGAGAACGAGGTGGGCATGGACAAAGGCCTGGGTCTTTTCTTGTACCCGGAGTTCAGGCCCAGTCATTTTTGACTTTCCTGGTTCTTTCCTCGACTACAGGCCCAGATCAAAAAATCAAACCCAGGAACAGGCCCAGGCTTTTCAAAAATCTCGATCTCTACCAATTACCCCAAAACCCCCCAAATTCACATATAAATAAAAAACATACACAATTTTAACCAACTCCATTGGATAAAAAGACTCTTTTGGACCAGCCTTTTGAATGACACAAGGAAGTCTCCCAAAACGTAAATTCAAGTGATACGTCTGTTGAAAGTGTTGAACAACGCTTATTGTCTGCCCTTCGCGTTGAAACGTGATTTCATTTGCCGGTCGGTTGGTTAAACCAGAATTGGCGAATGTGACTTGATTTTCCGGTAAGTGAGTCGTTTGAAGAACGAGTCCTTAGAAATTCATTTGTCACAAATCTTCGCAAAAAATCAAACCTTTAATTTGCTTATTCATCTGATCAAAATATCTGCCCATATTTTGCATAATAACATCAGGGTGGTTCACACCAAGAAAATCGCAAACAAAATTCAACAAATCCACTCCAGGGAAGAATGCAGATTTCTTTGCTGAAATTGATAATTTAAAATAAAAATGTATTAAAAATAAAAACTAACGATCAATCTGCAAAATAGGCATAGCATTCTGCAATGTTTCGCCTACAAAACGAACCTAAAATTTTTTGTTAAACATTGACTGTTTTAATATTTAAAAACAGGGCTACCCCCGACCATGAATGTCCGCAAGTGAAAAAAATTTTCCGAAGCAGCAATCCACAATTGCAGACAGCCCTGGCAGCGACGGAAAGCGGGATCAAAAAATGTCAAAAAATCAACGTCGGGTGAGGAAATTGGAAACAACCCCTACCGAAATTACCAAAAAAAATAAAAAATTATTTACATTCTTTTGCATTCCACTCTTCAAAATTTGTGGGACGCCTTGCAACTGCACAGCACTCTCTTGATCATACAATCGGTTGCCGAACGAGTAGTGTTGACCCTTCTCAAACATTCTTTGCGAAGACAGCAACTCCAGGAATTGAACAACAGAGCGATCACCTTGAAGGTAGGACTGAACGGCGTTTTTGAGGTTAACCTAAATTCAAAAAATTTTTTAAGACAATTTTCAAAAAAATTAACTGTTTCAGTTCGAAGCAAATAAGCCACAATACGTTCTGTGTTGCGAATATACGCTTTTGCACGATCCTCGAGAGCATTCTTGAAAATAAAAATTTGAAATTATTTTAAGGACAACTTTAATGAACAATGGGCAGTATACCGAAAACCAAAAACTTAAAAAGAAATCAATAGGAAAACACCAAAAACTAGGGTTGGGCCCGATCCGAAAGATAAAGCCTGGCATCAAATCTTGGCCCAAAAAAAAAGACTCGGCCGGGTCAGGCCGATAAAAATGAGACCGAAAAAACAATTAGAACGTCGGCCTGACTCGAAAACCCCAACCCAACCAGAAACTAGCCAAAAAAGAAAATATGTTGGAAAAATTGTCAATTCAATCTATTTTAACGCCCCGCATACTTTTCTCGTTTCAACAACAAGTCCCGTCATATTTTAATTTTAAATGAATACCCTATCAACGTTGAGAACAAATTCACGTTTAGCACCCGGCTTCATTCCCAAATCACTTATCGAATACAGCAACGTCGCGCAGTCGTATGTGAACGTCTTCTTGTTGTCCCCAAAAACATCTCTGTTCTGATCCAACAATTGCTGGAAAAGACCCCAAATCAGACGACGACGGGTTTCTTTTGACTCACTAAATTTTTAATTCGTTCAAAACTCTCTTAAACGTCTCAAACTCACTCGTTACGTGGCCCACGCTCAAATTGTTGCTTCTTAACATTTGGCTGTCCTTGCACATTCACCGTTCGCTCACCAACAAAAGTCAGCTCAAATTGGAAGACTTGAGGCACGGTTTTACGGATGTCCATCTGGTAGCCATTCAACAAGACGCCAATGTGTGCGGCTGTTGGGGCTGAACCAGAATTGGTGACCTTTGCTGAAAAATAAGGATTAGTGGGGATAAACAAAAATTAAAAATTGCCTGGAAGGACTACATCCTGTTCCAATGTAGATGCCATTATTCGTTGTTAAAATAAAATAGAGTAGTGAAGACTAATAACTAATAGGGAGGACGCGAGAAAAATAAACTAATTCGATCTGAAAATTAAAAGTAAAATAAATGTACGCGTTTGTGAGACGAAAATGTAGAAAAATGAATTTTAAAGTAAACGCGTAGGGAATGAATTGAAAAAAAAATAAATTATGCAATGTCCAACAAATGACCATAAAAAACAGAAATTAATTTTCCTTAAATAATAAGATGAAGGGTAAAGGACGTTTCAGAACAGCAAAATAAAATTGGACGTTTCAACTCTGTGTTGAACATAAGGTCCGGTACTGTGTGTGTAAATTATCAAATAAAGCCCGTTCCAAAACCTATTTTGGAACGGACTTTAGATGTTATGCCGATGCTGGTACACTATTATTTGAAAATTTTCACCGTATTTCCTAAAATTTTAATTGGAAGAAAAAAAAATGGAAAATTTTAATGGAAGACTCCTCACGAGTCAAGTCACACACGCATTACTGGATTCTTGGTTCTAACACTTACAAATTAGAGCTGGGCACTTACCGTCATAAATTTGGGGAAAAAATAAAAAGGAGGCATAAAAGTTCAAGATTGCCCAAAAAGTTGCTCGAGACCTTCCTAATGATAAAATTTCTTGCAATATCGATAATTATGAGTCGGGTTTTAACGTAGTGACCGCGGGGGATTAATAGCAAAAATCTATGTGCAAGTACACACAATATAAAATTATTTTCACATCAAATGGAATGTTGGTTAAAATATGCGCTAGCTAAAGTAAAAATTTTTTCGCAATAATCAATTGTTTCCCTTTTACTTATTTTTTATTCATATAACCAGTTAAAATTCAAATATAAAAGTTTAGATCATGACCAGTTTATCAGCGGATTTAAATAAAAATTTAACAAGATTTAAGTCAATTAGGCAGGATTTTTAAAAATAAAACATCAATTTGACTCAGTAAATGAATTGAGAAGAATAGAAATTAAAAATTTTAATTTTACTTACAGATAAGGCATTGGAAAAAAGTTTTGTTTGAGGTTTTTTTTGAGAGTATAAGGTCACTCTCCCTCATATTTTTTATGCACTGCACTCACTCATTACTTCCCTAACTAAAAATTAATAATAAGAGAACGCCTATAAGTCTGGGGTGGAGAATAGAAAAAACTAGCAAGTTTTCTTCCCCAACTGACCAACCCTATTTGGCATAGAGATGTTAGAGTCTAAGCCGGTACAAAAGTTGAAGAACACATAATTTTTTAAAAAAAGTGATTCCCTCATAGTTTAAGTCGGCCACTCAGAAATCAGCAAAATCAAATTTTTTAAAATCAAATAAAATATTATCTAGCAAATAAAATGTGGGAAAACGATAGACTCAACTATGCAAATTTAGTCATTTTGGGGGTTATTTTTAGCTTGGGAAAACCCTGCGCAGGGTGCTGCATACTTGCTGCGGGACAACAGATAGAAAGGAACACAGCAAATAAAGAACGGAACGGCAAAAATAAAATGATGGGGGGGAGGGGGGGGGGTAATCCTATTTGGTTTTAAAAATGCAAATTTCCTTTGGGGGGGGGGGGGGTAATCCTATTTGGTTTTAAAAATGCAAATTTTCTTCCTTCCTTATATGTAGATGAATGGAAATGAAGAAAAATGTTAACCTATAAATAAAGTGATCGGAAAATTAAAAAAGGAAGGAAAGGGTTTCTCTCTCTCTTCCCCGTAAGAACCAGTCTTTGGTCTTCCTCTGTTTTTACTTAAAATATCTCAACATAATCTTTAAATAAAAAATTTTTTTTTGAAAAATATTTTTTTAAATAAAGGTGGGAAGTGGACAACAATCTTTGGTCAAGTTAAGGAAAAAATAAATTAAATAAAAATAAATTACTTTAGTTAATTTATAACAAAGATTTAAAAAGATAAGAGAAAATAAATAAAACCTTAAAATTTAAAAAATGGAAGAAGGAATTAAGGAAAAATACAATGAATGATTTTTATGTAGTAAATGAAAACAACGAATTTTTTGAGTAAGAAATTTATTGTTAAAAAACTAAACAATAAGAAATGACACAAACAATAAAGTTGGCGTCCGATGTTAAAATTTTAATAAAAAGCAAAGATTGTTTCATAAAATTTTTTATTACATTCTCTAATCCATGTCAGAGCTGGGCGAGAATTTTTGTTAAGTTTCTCATGATTTTCGTTTCGTTTTCGTTTCGTTTGAGAATTTTTTTTCGTTTAATGTTTAGTATTTTGTTTCTAAATTGATTTTACTTTTTTCGTTTCGCTGAAAGCGAAATTTTATTTTAACCCGCTCTGATCATTGAATAATTTAATTAAACTCAATAAGATTTTAATTCTGTAATCACCCAGATTATTGAACCTTGGGTATGCAGTTATTTATTTATAAACTAGGTTTAAAATTTACTCGGTTAATAATAATATAATAATAAATTTTATAATAATAAAGTTATAATAAATTTGGTTAATTTATTTTTAGAATATTTTGGCCACTGTGAAATTTTGCCAAAAAATTTTTAAAAATAATTTGTGAAATAAAGTATGAATCTCGAATATAGAACCCCAAGTATACTAGCTATTTAAAATTGGCTAAATCTACAGAAATAAACGGGTGAGGGGTAAAACGGGGAATTCCAAAACACGGAACAGACAGAACACGGAACGACAAAACGCGGTCTTAACCAAAACACGGAACGACCAAAATACGGACCATACCAAAACGAGGAACAGACAAAACGCGGTCTTACCAAAACACGGAACGGGCAAAAGGAATTTTTTATAACTTTTAAAAATATTTCTGATTTTTAAAGAATTTTGATTTAAAAAATTCTGATTCCATAGAAGGGGGTTCCTCCAATTCCGCCATATCTACCATAGGATAAATAATATGCCATTCGAATAGTCTAGAGAGCGGTCACCGTACTAAAGTAAATTAAAAGCAAACCTTTATTGCATTTTCGGTAGACTCACAAAAAAACTTTCCACCACGTGGCCGGCCTCATGAATGGCCACGCGGTGGATATCAGCAGAAGAAAGGTTAGATTCAGTAGATTCTTTATGGATGGATGCAGCAGTTCAAATTATAAAGAGGATGGAGCAGCAGTTCAAATTGTAAAGGGTAGGACTTTCGATCACTTTGAATCCGGTTACAGGGTTGAGGATGTTTACAGCAGCATTTTTGAAAAAATCTGAGGTGGCAGCAGCGGAAAAACGATTGAATCCAAATCCATTGGGGGTAGTTTTTTTCTTGTTGAAGAACCAAATAAGAATCCCCACTTGAATAGTGCTAGAAATAAAAATTCTATTTTTTAAAGAATAAAGTTAAACTTACATGAGTGAGCCAACAATGACTCCTAAGAAAAAAATGAAATATTCATTCATGTTTAAAAATTTTGTTTAGGTTTGTAATAAGAAAGAATAATTGTGTGTATAAGAATGTTTCTACAAAATTGAAAAAATTATGAGGCTTTGTTATGAAAAAAACGTAAAATAAACTTGAGGCCCGGGGCTTAAAATTTTGGAAGGGGATGAGAAACGAGAGTTGCTATTAAGATTTTACGTTTTTTTCATAACAAAGCCTCATAATTTTTTCAATTTTGTAGAAACATTCTTATACACACAATTATTCTTTCTTATTACAAACCTAAACAAAATTTTTAAACATGAATGAATATTTCATTTTTTTCTTAGGAGTCATTGTTGGCTCACTCATGTAAGTTTAACTTTATTCTTTAAAAAATAGAATTTTTATTTCTAGCACTATTCAAGTGGGGATTCTTATTTGGTTCTTCAACAAGAAAAAAACTACCCCCAATGGATTTGGATTCAATCGTTTTTCCGCTGCTGCCACCTCAGATTTTTTCAAAAATGCTGCTGTAAACATCCTCAACCCTGTAACCGGATTCAAAGTGATCGAAAGTCCTACCCTTTACAATTTGAACTGCTGCTCCATCCTCTTTATAATTTGAACTGCTGCATCCATCCATAAAGAATCTACTGAATCTAACCTTTCTTCTGCTGATATCCACCGCGTGGCCATTCATGAGGCCGGCCACGTGGTGGAAAGTTTTTTTGTGAGTCTACCGAAAATGCAATAAAGGTTTGCTTTTAATTTACTTTAGTACGGTGACCGCTCTCTAGACTATTCGAATGGCATATTATTTATCCTATGGTAGATATGGCGGAATTGGAGGAACCCCCTTCTATGGAATCAGAATTTTTTAAATCAAAATTCTTTAAAAATCAGAAATATTTTTAAAAGTTATAAAAAATTCCTTTTGCCCGTTCCGTGTTTTGGTAAGACCGCGTTTTGTCTGTTCCTCGTTTTGGTATGGTCCGTATTTTGGTCGTTCCGTGTTTTGGTAAGACCGCGTTTTGGAATTCCTCGTTTTACCCCTCACCCGTTTATTTCTGTAGATTTAGCCAATTTTAAATAGCTAGTATACTTGGGGTTCTATATACGAGGTTTATACTTTATTCCACAAATTATTTTTAAAAAATTTTAGGCAAAATTTCACAGTGGCCAAAAAATTATAATATATAATTAAATATCGGGGGTAATATAATTAAATATTGTAATTAAAATACAACCCGAAAAAGGTAAGGTCCGCAAAAATAACCGGTACTATAATAATGGGTGTATCTAGGGGTCGATTTCATTCTCAGTTTTTCCTTTATCCATATTACAGGGTCATGGTGTGCCATAGCCCCCTGGATAACCCTTGGTACTATTTGATTATCCACCCTCCCTATTTTCCTCATTCCTTTTTCTCCGTTAAATGGAAACTAGTATTACAGTGAAAACCTATGCTTAAATCACCA